TGTGAGAACACCTGGCCTGAAAGCTCCACTCACACCTTTTAGAAGTACTAATCTATCTTCAGTGGAACCTTGGTCTTTTATTTCCTGCAATTCATTCAAAAATGTTAAGTTAGTTGTTTATAGAAAATAAAAGTTTTACGAGTCACGAATAGTATTCATGAAAGATTCTGGAAAGTTACCTGAGGCATGTCAACGGAGTATACAATGTTATCAAAAGTGATAGAATGTGGTTCGAATGGAAGAACCATTCCCCTCTTCTTGTCCTGGCCCTCAGTTTCACTTCCCTCAATGAGTTGTTCAGTCTCATTGTCTTCTGATAATATAGCTTGTGGCTTACCAAAAGCTGTAAATGTTTAAGAAATATGATATTAGCCCCGTTTCCCCGGTAGTATAGGCATCGTTCATTTTATGTTCTTTTCAAGAGGAATTTAAAGGCAACAGAGATACTCACGGTTCAGGTAAGCGAGTCCAATGCTGTAGCCAAGGTTGAAGATTATTATGTATCCGATAAGTGCCCCAACACCTATCCAGTACCAATATGGATCTGGAAAGAACCCTCGAGATCTTAGTACTGCATGTCCAAGTGACTCAGCTCCATTCGGCGCAATCTGCTTGAATTAAGATTGGATATGAGCATCCATTAATTAGAAAATTAGCTATTTGCATGTGTTTCGGGATAAAAATACTTACACGATCCCATTTCTTCCCATCAAATTCATTCACAAGAATTGAATTCACAGAATACATTAATGGTGAGATCCAGTAACCCCAGATCCACCATTTCTTCACATCATCTGCAGTATCATGCAAAAAAGAATATAAATAAAAGTATGACTGAACAAGAAAAATAATTTTTGCAAACATAATAAAACATACTTCTCGAGAGGACAAATCCAGACAATGCAAATTGCAAAACTAGTGCAAATGCTCCAAATGTTGTAGCGACTCCCATTGTTCTACCCGCTGCACCAATGAATCTGAACAGTCCCGATGCCATCTGGTGTACTAGTACGAGAAGCAAGAACTGTTTGAACAATCTGAAAAATGATAGTCACTTAGTAATCATGAAATCATAAACGCAATCTCATTCTTCGTTTGTACATTCATTTTTCTTCCCTTACCTTGAAACATTCGGATCAAATCCCATGACATAATATGTAAGAAATGTCCAAATAGCAACTTCAACAATTGTTATTGGGATTTTGAGAATCCATGTTGGAAGGGCATAAGCCCATGAAGGATAAAAAAGAAGGTCCCTTTGCTTGAAGTAGACTGGAAGCTTTAAAATCGTCAGGTTGATCTCAGCCATTCCATTAAACATAATCACAACGACTACGAAAAAGAGAGCACCAGCATACATCCCTCCATCATCCATATTATTTCGGGGCATCTCAGTACGGAAAAAGATGGACATCATTATAAATGCCATCACCATGAGCTGAGAAAACAGAACAGAAACACAGCAGAATTAACAATTGGCACATGGTTATGATATGGATTACACTTTTATATTTCTAATAGACTAAGTAGTAAGTACCTGAAAGAACTTGAATATGAAAACAAATGAGTTCCTCTTCATTAGTAGAAACTCTCGGTCAGCACAGACCTTCAGCAGTTGTTTCATCCCTATACCGTACTTCTTAGTAGACAAAGCAGCAGGGTGGCTTTTGGTCTTGTCATAAGGAGTTTTAAGCTCATCGGCAAGTTTCTTCCCAACATGGAAAGACTGATATGCCTCGGCAAATTCTTTCGATGTGATAAACCTATAAGGCTCATCCTTCTTAGCCCAATATTGTTGTTGATCCTTCTTTGATGTTACCTGCAAGCAATAATTTAAAACTTCGTTGGTTAAGTGTCATCATTACGCATAAAAAAGAACATAATACTGCGCTCTCTCTAACAGTTAAAACTCTTATATTTTATTGTAAGACATACCTCTTGCAAGAAATCTGCCACGCCTTTCCTCTCGGGGCATTTGAATCCCATGGATTCAAAGAAGTCAAGAACATCTTCCCGAGGACCCTGATAGACAATTTGTGCATCTGACAGCAGAATTATGTCATCAAACAAGTTGTAAGTCTCGGGGGCTGGCTGTAACAGAGATATTACAGCAGTTCCCTTCAAGAGCTGCACCGATTGTCTTAACGAATTGACAATGGAGAAAGTTGTTGAACTGTCCAATCCAGTTGAGATTTCATCCATGAAAAGCGCCTTTGATGGTCCAACAAGCATTTCACCTGTCGTCACACGTTTCTTTTGCCCCCCTGAAATACCCCTTAACATTTCATCTCCCACCATAGTATCAGCACAGATATCCAGCCCCAAAATCTGTAAACGGAAGTCAAATTACTAAATATAGGTAACGTCTATAAGATAGGTTATCTGCTACAACAAGTTAAAAAGCATTATATCGAAATAATTTGATTTTGTCAAATGTTACCTTAAGAACATAATCTGTAACAATATTGGCTTCCTGTCCTTTTGCTACTGAAGCCTACATTTCACAAAAACAATTAACATCAATAATACAAGATTTAGTATTATTCGCGTTCATGTCTTTCTGTTGTATTCTTACCTTCATATAGATATCAATATCACGATCTGGCTTGATATTAGCAGCTTTCTCTCTTCGTGATAGTTCAGCCAACATCTCTACACAAATTTAGTAAATGAATTAAAACTTGTTTCGGACTAACACACTATATTCAGTACTATTTCATATACACTCTCACTAACGATTCTTAGTTATAAGATATAAAATACTAACCATATCTAGGGCCAACTCCTTGGCATCTTGCGGAAAATTCCAAAGTTTCCCTTACAGTCATTTCTCCAATATGCAAGTCATGTTGGCTGATATAAACAGCTGTTTTTTGTGGAACAAATTCATGTAGTTCATGTCCATTATAGGTCACATTCCCTTTAACCTGATTTCCAACAAAAAAGGGGTAAAAATTTAGTAAGGTTCAACTTCTGTCAATTGATGACTATGGTGCTCGAATTCTTCAAAAATATTCGCATGTCGCATACTCGACATAATCATAAACATGTCATTTAACTTGCGCTCAACTCAACTGACATCTATCTATGCTCTCAATTTTAAGTTTATACAACTAGACACCTAAACTTGTATAAAACTGAACAAATAAATCGAGGGAGTATGATATATTTGGAATTGGAAAAATCTTACCTTTAGTGTAGGATCAAGTTTTCCAGCCAAAGCTAATAACAAAGTAGTCTTCCCAGAACTTGGAGGTCCCAAAAGTAGAGTTAGCCTTGAAGGTTTAATCATACCACTTACATCATTGAGAATTGTGATTTGCCTCTTTCTACTTGGAAGTATGTGAATAGTATTCAAGAATGTCTTTGGAAGAAGAAAAAATTGAAAAGAAAAAAAGAAGTTAGTTTCAATTAAAGAAAAAAAAAACAGACAGTTCGGTGCACAAAGCATCCCACGTTATAGCAGGGTTCAAGAAACTGTCACACCTCAAAGGGTGAAATGTAGACAGTCTTGCATTATCCGAATATAAGGATTAATGATTGCTACCACGACTCGAACCCCCTCCTTAGTTTTTATTTTTTTTAAAAAAAATTAACTTATTTATTTTTCATTTCATATTTTTACCTCAACAGAGTTGGTCATGAAGTTGATAAAAGTAGGCAAAGCTCTGCTTCCTACATATGCATCTGCCGCAATGTTTAGATGTTCATATCTCACTTCTATTGATGGCAAATCAATCCCAACTCTGTAAAAATTATCCAAAGAGAATAAATAAAAAAGTTAAATATCAATTAAATAAAAAAATAGAAAAACTAAATTCAACTCATAATTTAGAATTTAAAAAAGAAAAAAAAGAAAAAATCGAAATTTTAATGCACTAAGTTCTCGCTACTATACCTATGTCCGAGGAAGGACCAAGTTTTAAATTGTGTAATTGTGTTTTAAAATTAAATAAGTAATCTATTAGGAATTAGTGAGTAAAAAAACCATAAAACTTATAAAAAATGACATTTTTGAAAATTTAAAGTTATTTATTTATTTTCATGAGTGGTTTAGAGTAACCCCTTAACACACGGCAACAACTCTTATTAGCATGGATCTGCAAGACAATGATAATGATAACGATAAAACAAACTATATATATATATATATATACGAAAAATTTAAAATTTACGCGACTTACGTTTCAATTCTATCCTTGAGTTTCAATAAGAACTTTTCATTATCTTCATCAGCAACCTTAACAAGCCTATCAAGCAAATTCTTCCTTTCTTGATGTCCAATATCATTTGTATCAACTTCAGAAATAGTTTCACCTTCTTTACCAAACAATAAACCTTTTCTCATTCGATCGAATGTAGGTAATTTTTCTAACGCGGCCCATTTAAGAGCCTCTTCATCATCCTCATCTCTTCCTGATCGCGAAAATATCGAATTACTTGAATTTCCCCTCATACTTGCCCTTAAACTACCTCTAAAATTATTAAGATTCGCTCCCTCCATCATTAATATTCACTCGATCGATAAGAAAATTCTAAGCAGAACTCGTAAACTATATAAAATGAACTTTAAACTTTAGTATTGGGAGATAACCCCCAATATTTTTTGTGATATTATTTTTCTTGTATTATGATATGGTTTATAAAGAAGAAAGAAAAAAAAAACAGTTAGGTGAGAATTAAGAGTCAAAGGCAGAGCACCTATGTAGGATATATTAACGCAAATGTAGTCTTTTTTTGACTTGACTAGATTGTGACTAAATATTTGAAGAAAATCTAGAATTTTCAAAAGCCATCATTCAATAAAAACGGTGTATTTTGTATTTACGTAATGCTAAAAAATGAGTGGTGGAGAAGTATCGAAGAGACTAATAAAATTGAAAAATTGATGGTACGTAAAAAAAATATAATATCATTTATATACTAATTATTTCTTACACAAAACTTAGAATGAATTTTCAATAAGGTAAAAAATACACAGAAAATTTTTCAAAAAGCTCTTCAAAGTTGTGATCAATATACACAGTTTGTTGTGTCTTTTATCTTCTCTGGAAGTTGAAGGCCTTAATGCCTAATGCAAATGTCAACGCAAACATAACAGGCAACGCGACGATCACAGCAGCAACAACGCCAAGGAAATCATGTTTGAATCCGAAGTAACGTCTTAAGTATTGTTCAACATTTTCATCATCGGTGAGAGGAGTTTGGATGTCTCCGAATTGTGATGCAACGAGACCATACAAGGTCCATGCAACAGGGCAAGCCCAGTAGTACCATCTCCACCAGATTGGAATACGCTGTTTTTCAGTTAATAAAAGAAGGAACAGAACATGTCATTTTTTTTTTCGTTGTTCAGTAATGTTTTATAGGCGTAAAATGAAGGATTTTCAAGGACTTACAGGTCGTGGAACGATGAATCCTGAGAAGAGATTCCATACTGCATAGAAGAAGGCCGCGACAATGGATGCAACGTTTTGGTTTGGAGTAACAGCCACTGTCATCATGCCGTAGAAGGTGAAGTACAAGAGGGTGCAGTACATGAAGAAGAAGTACCATAAGAATTTGACAGCAGTCCATTCAAACCCGATCATTGCATACACGATGACACCATAGAAAGCTGATTGTACAAATACATAAGGTATTTCGATGACAACCTACACGAAAGTAAAGCTTCATAGATCAATATGAATCCTTATTTCTTATCTCAGAATGTCACTCAACTATCGTACGTTCTGAGATAATAGTTGTTAGTTGAGTGACTAAATTGAACTGTTTGTTTACCTGTCCAAAGGCGTAAGGTATGGCAGAATACATTCCAGCAGCTTTTTCTCTGTAAAATACAGTACGTTCAACGGCTACAACAGGCTGGACAGATGATGAATTTTGTACACCAAGGAAGAGAGTTGCAGCATACATAGATCCCATAGCGTTGATAAGATCCTGACTCCGACTCCTGTGATCAACAAAGCTCGAATAGTTTAGCTTAAATACTATAAGATGTTTATCTTTAAAGTTAATATTTACTTGTTATTGTGATTTGTACTTACACTTTGGTACCAAGATCCCAAAACATTGTGCCAAAGACAAGTGCTATGAATGTTGTGAAAATGAATCTAACTGCAGTATAAGCTGGATTACGCCAGTACGACCAGTGTTGCTTCCAGAGACAGGCCATACATTGGGTCCAGAAAGGCTGTGAAAATTGTGTTTCGAAATGTAGATCCTTTGTAGCAGGACGAGGCGTACTTAATTCAGCAATCAAGGCTTTATTCCTCCTGTAGAGGTCGGAATTCTTGTATAAATCAGCAAAATCAACCCCTAACATCATTTCTTGAGATGACGCGGTGACTTCTAACATCCAGGTTGCGGGATTGTAAGCCTCTTTAATCTTACCAACTCCAGGCATGGACTGAATCCAAGAAAAAAATAAATATTAGTATTTGATTATAAATTTCGCGGAAAAGAAAACTATGTTTTCTGTTCTGATAACATACCTCAAAGTATTTGATCAAATGGCAAGAATGGCGACCTAGAGGACCAACATATATCTCCTGGCCTCCGCGTTTCATCAGAAATAGCTGCAAAACCGTGTTTATATTAGTATTCGTAAGCAAAATATCAAAAAGGAAACATGTATTTGTTTCATTGTCTTGAAGGTTAATAAACTCACCTCATCAAAGGCTTCAAAAATGTCAATGCTAGGCTGATGAATGGTACAGACAACAGTTCTTCCTGTATCGACAGTGTTCCTAACAGCTCTCATTACAATAGCAGCAGCTCTTGCATCCAACCCTGAAGTTGGTTCATCCATGAAAATGATAGAGGGATTTGCTACCAGCTCAACCGCAATTGTTAGCCTTTTGCGTTGCTCGGTTGATAGACCATTGACTCCAGGGAGTCCAACTAAGGCTGATCTTAATGGAGCTAGCTCTACAAGTTCCATAACTTCGTCAACAAACATCTGCAGAAAGGCGATCAATTGACAATGTTAACGATTGCCATGAACACTTCATTAGAAGCTGGTTTGAACGATTAGTAGTATATAGATTATCACTATGGAGAAAGAATTTAGATGAATCGACCTTTCTCTTATTTTCGTCAACATCTTGAGGTAAACGCAGCCAAGCTGAGTAAACCAAGGACTCATAAACTGTAACATAAGGCGAATGGATGTCATTTTGCTCACAGTATCCAGAAATACGTGCAAACGTTTCTTGCTTCTTTGGATATCCAGAAATCTTAATGTCACCATCAATGTATCCTCCTGTTTTCCTTCCGGCCAACACATCCATCAACGTTGTTTTACCGGCTCCACTAACACCCATCAAAGCTGTGAGAACACCTGGCCTGAAAGCTCCACTCACACCTTTTAGAAGTACCAATCTATCTTCAGCAGAACCTTGTTCCTTCATTTCCTGCAAGTCATGAAATGTTATGTCAATTATTCGCAGAAAAGAATAGCCTCACCAGTCACGAATATTGTTCAAAGAGTTGTGGAAAATTACCTGAGGCATGTCAACAGAGTATACAATGTTATCGAAAGTGATGGAATGGGGTTCAAATGGAAGAACCATTCCTTTCTTCTTGTCCTGACCCTCGGTTTCACTTCTCTCCGTGAGTTCAACAGCATCCTCACCATCTTCTGATATCATAGCTTGTGGCTTACCAAATGCTGTAGTTATACACTTGGTTTAGTATGTCGGAATTTTCTTTTCAAAGGTAAAGTAGATACATCAGAGATACTCACGGTCCAGGTAAGCGAGTGCTATACTGTAGAAGAAGTTGAAGATCATCGTGAATCCGAAAAGTGCCCCACAACCTATCCAGTACCAGTATGCATCTGGAAAGAATCCCCTAGATCTTACGACTGCAGCTCCAAGGGGCTCGGTTCCATTTGGCGCAATCTATTTTCAATTTAACTGGATATCAGCATCCAATTAAGAGAAAAAAATAACTATATGCACAATGTGTTACGCATAAACACTTACATGTTTCCAATTCTTTCCATCAAATTCATTCACGAGAATTGAATTCACGGAATACATCAATGGTGAGGTCCAGTAACCCCAAATCCACCATTTCTTCACATCCTCTGTAGCATCAGGCAGAGTAGAAAATAAATAAAGGTCAGATTACAACAACAACAATAACTATGCCTTTGTCCCAAACAAGTTTGGGTCGATCATAATTGAAATGTTCGACTATTACACATAACATACAAAGGATAAAATGAAAGCTCATGAATGACTAAATAATAGTTTTAAACACGAAAAAATATATACCTCGAGCAAGGACAAATCCTCCTAGTGCAAATTGTAAAAGAAGAGCAAATGCTCCAAAAGTGCTAGCTACTCCCATTGTTCTCCCCACTGCTCCGATGAATCTGAACAATGCTGATGCCATCTGGTGTACTAGTACGAGAAGTAAGAATTGTTTGAACAATCTGCAAAGCAAAAGTCGATTAACACTCAAGGATTAATTGAAGGCCACCTGATCAATTTTTTCGTGTATTTTCTTAGCTTACCTTGAAACATTTGGATCAAATCCCATGACATAATATGTAAGGAATGTCCACATTCCGCACTCAACAAATGTTATAGGGATTTTGAGGATCCATGTTGGAAGGGCATAAGCCCACGAAGGGAAAAAGAGAAGGTCCCTTTGCTTGAAGTAGACCGGAAGCTTGAAAATTGTCAGGGCAATCTCAGCCATTCCATTAAACATAATCATAACGACCACGAAAAAGAGAGCACCAGCATATATTCCTCCATCATCCATATCATCTCGGGGAAGCTTAGTTCGGAAAAAGACACTCATCGTTATAAGTGCCATTATAGCAAGCTGAGAGAACACAACATACACAGAGATTATTACTATTAGAACATAGTTACGAGATCAAGGCATATGTAGAGATATAGTTCGTATAGACCAAGTAAAAGGTACCTGAGTGAGCTTGAATATGTAAACAAATGAGTTCCTCTTCATTAGTAGGAATTCTCGTTCAGCGCAGACCTTCAACAGTTGTTTCGTCCCTATACCATACTTCTTAGTAGACAAAGCAGCAGGGTGGCTTTTGGTCTTGTCATATGGAGTTGCAAGCTCATCGCTGAGTTTCCTTCCAACATGGAAAGACTGATATGCCTCGGAAAATTCTTTTGATGTGATAAACCTATAAGGCTCATTCCTCTTAGCCCAATATTGTTGTTGATCCTTCTTTGACGTTACCTACAAGAAACAATTATAAAATTTCCACCTCTTAGAACACGTAATTGAGAGCTCTCACTAAGTGTTAAACGTTTAGATAAGATGATCACCTACTTTAACGTTATAAGCTTTGTTAGTTATACTTTATTGTAAGACGTACCTCTTGCAAGAAATCTGCTGCACCTTTTCTCTCGGGGCATTTGAATCCCATGGACTCAAAGAAGTCAAGAACAGCTTCTCGAGGACCCTGATAGACAATGTACCCGTCTGACAACAAAATAATGTCATCAAACAAGTTGTAAGTCTCGGGGGCTGGCTGCAACAGAGATATCACAGCAGTTCCCTTCAAGAGTTGCACCGATTGTCTTAGAGAGTTAACAATGGAGAAAGTAGTTGAACTATCCAATCCGGTTGAGATTTCATCCATGAAAAGCGCCTTAGATGGTCCAACAAGCATTTCACCCGTTGTTACACGTTTCTTTTGCCCCCCGGAAATACCCCTTATCATTTCATCTCCCACCATAGTATCAGCACAAATGTCAAGTCCCAATATCTGCACATTAAAGTCAGAAGCAATTATTGTTACTGGCAGATAAGTAGTCCAATAAATAAGGCAAATAACCTCCGACAACAGATTAAACACGCTAACAGGAGAAATAAATTGGATATCGTAAATGTTACCTTAAGAACATAATCTGTAACAACATTCGCCTCTTGTCCTTCTGTTGCTGCAGCCTACATTTCCCAAGAAAGAACAAGATTATAAACTATTCGCCATGACGAAAAAAATTAATGTAAATTCAAGTTCCTAATATTCGATAAATATCTAGGCTTACCTTCATGTAGATATCAATATCAGGATCTGGTTTGATATTAGCTGCTTTCTCTCTTCTTGACAGTTCAGCCAACATCTCTACACAAATTTTAAGCAAAAACAGACTTAAAATAAATGAATATTTACATGTTTTCACCACTAAACATATACTCCCTCCTTGTCAGCGGCAACGGTTAATTATAACTTTCCACGTGATTCAAAAGTCATCTTTTACTTTCTTAAACTCCGTGTCAAGTAAAAACCAGACAAAAAAAATCGAAAAACGCAGGGAGTATAAGAAAATACTAACCAAATCTAGAGCCAACTCCTTGGCATCTTGCAGAAAATTCCAAAGTTTCCCTAACAGTCATTTCTCCAATATGCAAGTCATGTTGACTGATATAAACAGCTGTTCTTTGTGGCACAAATTCATGTAGTTCATGTCCATTATAAGTCACATTACCAGTAACCTAAATTCACAGAAAATATCGAAAACTTCAGTACATATTTTTTCTATCTTATTTATATTTTACAACTTTATCTATGTAAAAATCTCACCCTTAAAGCAGGATCAAGTTTCCCAGCCAATGCTAATAACAAAGTAGTCTTCCCGGAACTCGGAGGTCCCAAAAGTAGAGTCATTCTACATGGTTTGATCATACCACTTACATCTTTGAGAATTGTTATTTGCCTCTTTTTACTTGGAAGGATGTGAAGAGAATTCAACAATGTCTTTCGAGCCAAAAAAAATCGAAAAAAAATTACATTAGTTTCATATCAAAAGAACTTGGATATACTTTAAGTGAGTAATATTTTCATTCATATGCATTTTTTTTACCTCAACAAAGTTAGTCATGAAGTTGATAAAAGTAGGCAAAGCTCTACTTCCTGCATATGCATCTGCCTCAATATTTAGATGTTCATATCTCACTTCTATTGATGGCATATCAATCCCAACTCTGTATTTAAAAAAAATACAAGTTAAATACCAATCAACTAAAAAGCAAAAAGTAAAAACTCCGATGCACTAAGTTCCTGCTATGCATCTGACTACGGTTGGATCATGTTACGTCTATTGTACTCAGTCTTACCTTACAATTCTGCAACAAGAGACTATGATACACTAAGTTCTCGCTATGCTTAAGTCCTTGAAAGACCACACCATGTTAGGTCTATTATACACAATTTTACTATTTCTACAAGGTAAGATCATTTTTCAATGCTTGAACCTGTGACCTCGAGTGAGCATGTCTAAAAAACTTTGACCTAGACCTTATATTTGTACAAATAATTTATTTAGATTCTTATAAACTTAAAATCATATGACAACTCTTACTGTTAAAGAATGACAAAATTCCCACATCGATGTTTAATGAGATGGGTGGACTCCCTATAAAGGCTTGAGCAATCCTCCTTCCTTTGAGCTAGCTTTTGGGGTGTGAGTTAAGCTTATGACCTAATTTAACATGATATCAAAGCAGGCCCGTCTCACCCAATGTTGGGGCTCCAAAATTAAAAGTTGTCCATGTTTCAGATGCTAAGCATTGGGCGTGAGAAAAACGACAAAAGTCCCATATCGATGGTTCCTATGAGCTAGCTTCTGGGGTGTGAGTAGTCCTTAGACCTAATTTAACACTTACCATTCAATGAAAATTTTGAAAATTTCCCTAAAAATGGAAATATATATATATATAGATATATATAAATTTGAAAAAATGTTTTCATTTTACCTATCAATTCTATTCTTGAGTTTCATTAAGAACTTTTCATTATCTTCATCAGCAACTTTAACAAGTCTCTCAAGCAAATTCTTCCTTTCTTGATATCCAAGATCATTTACATCAATTTCATTAGCTGCACCTTGTGATCCAAACAATAAACCTTTTCTCAGTCGATCGAACGTTGGTAATTTTTCTAATGCAGCCCATTTAAGTGCCTCTTCATCATCTTCATCTCTCGTTGATCGCGAAAATGCATCAACACCATTGTTTCTCCATATTGAATTACTTGTACTTGCTCTTAAACTACCTCTCATACTTCCTCTCATACTACTACCTCTCATACTATTGAGATTCACCGGCTCCATATTGAACGATCCAACGTTCACTCAACTCTATCGATCAAAAGGCTAATCTCTTTTTTTTCGTTAACTATTACAAAAATGTTATGTTTTTGTATGTTTTGTAATGCCCTGAGGGCTCGAATTCGTTTAAACTTTTTCAAATGGATGTGAAAACTGTATTTAGAGATACATAAATTGTGTTATTGAAATTATTATGCCTTAAAATAGAACAAAAGAATGAAAGGCAAAGTTAAGAGTTGGTGCCAACAAAAGAATAATAACAGAGGAGTTATATAGTAAGATTATTCATACAAAAATAATAATTAAAAAAAATAGTAAGATTATTCATAATAGGCGGCTATCGTATACTTTTCATTATCATTCAAAATTTTAAAGAAAAATCTTAAGTACTATTAAGATAAACTTTTAAATTTCCAAATTACTTTTTTTTATTATTATTATACAATATTCTTCGTTTCAATTTGCTCGTTAAAAGATTTTATTTTTTTTTGGTAACTTGTTAGTTTCAACTTTCTATGTGATGAGATTGTAAAATTAAAGGATATTATTGATTTTTTTTTTTACTTTTAAGATTAGAGACTCAAAAATCTTATTTATTTTCTTTAACTTTATGTTAAAGTCGTAACAAATAAATTAAGACAAGAGTATTGAAAATACGATTGAATTAACTGGAAATTGTTAGTTTTGTCTTTGAACTATTGACTGTCTTAGAAAGACTCATCTATTTACTAACTAAACCTAGATACATCCTAAATTTGTCTAACATAACAGATAATCTCAAACTCTTGTAAAAGCATGAGATTCCTGATAAAAAATCGGGAGAAATATTGAAACACCCTTAAACTTGACGAGAACTTAGGGGTATACTATGTCACTTATATTACAAGATCGAGGAAATATTTAACTTCGATTAGTCAAGTAAAAAAGTATTTTTAAAATTATAAATAATTAAAAAATAAAACTCATAATTCACACAAAATTAATATTTTCAATATTTTTCTCATAAATTAATTAAAATGGAGGGAATATAATGCTAATTGATGATTGATTAAGGGGTAGTGGTAAATATAATATAATTGTGATTATTCCAAGAGAAGGTGGAGAAAAAAAAATGTGAACTTTTTCATTTTAATTATTAGATTAGACCAATTTGTCTGACTTTTCGTGTTTTGAGTTTGGAAGTTTCCTAATGTATAATTAAAGTGGATGAATAAACAATAGAGGAAAATGTGCTAATTATCTTTTTTTTAACAACAAAGATAGCGGGGAGATGCATTTGGTTAATTAATTAATTATTGATGTAAATTTCAGCAGACAGGCGGCTATAAATTTATAAAAAAAAAAAAAATTATTGCTCCTTTTTTTTTTTGTACTTGTTTATAATGATGGCTGTATTTATACTTGGTGTCTTGATTTAATTGAATATATAATTAAAATAACGAATTCGTTATTTAAATACGCCAACGGTACTCTCTGTTATATTTTTAGAATTTTTAAAATTTATGATATTATAAATTCATAATATCAATTTAAATTGCTATTTTTATTAAGACGTAATTGTTGTTATTCAAATTTATATGAAAAATATTATAATATGAAATTATTGAAACAAACTTGATGTGTTATAGCCGTCTTTATACTAAAATAATGCTATAGTTAAAAATGTGATATATTTTAATAAATTAACTTATTTTTCTAATGAGTTCTTGAAAACAGACATAATTTTTTTTTTATAATTTTAAATTTTAATCTATAGTATCAAATAAGAACACATAATCATATATTCAGATCAACATAGCTCAGGTTATGTCTTAATCAAATTTATTAGATGAATTAATTATGCCACAAATCTTATTCTGCCTGATCCCTCCATTCACATTATTTTTATTTTTATTTTACTTTTTTACTCGGTTGTTTCGTATGCATATTCGAGTCCAATTAAATTTGAGTTTATGCTGAAAAGTCGAGAGTAAAGCGCTTCCTAACAAATGCGATTATATCCACTCCATATCAAGAAAAACTCAAACCCAAAGTCTTTAATTAAGGATGAAACACACTTACCACTCTATCATAACCCTTTCCGATCCGATTCACATTATTTGTTTTTAAGGTCTATGCACATAACTTACTCTTTACTATTCTTTTAAAAACATGCTGAATTAATTAATGACTATTAATTATATAAAAAGATAAATAAGATAATGTTTAATTATCGACTAGTTTTTTATTAGTACAACAAAAGAAGTATTTTCTTAGTGACAATATTTTTTGAAAAAAAAATTCTGCAAAACATTCGATCGTAATTGAGTTAATGTTATTGTATTCAGATTTACTAAAACTTTTAGCGATGTTATAAAAAATGTTAATTATAATACTCATATTAATGATATTATTATTTCTATATAATTATCGTTAATTTTTATTATTGACCTTGATATTACTCTAATTGTAAAAGAGTTAAGTAATTGCATTGATGTACATTGAACATGTATTGAAGTATATGGTAGATTATGGTGAAGATTACACACTAGATTATAGTTAGGAAGAGTTAGTTACAAGTTTGTTAGAAGTTAGTTGTATATAACTCATGTATTGTGTGATATTGTGGCTTAATGCAGTAGCTCTTTCTCTCCAAAACTAAATTGTATTCCTCCTACGTGTTCTTGAGCTTCAGCTAAGCTTTGGTTATGGATTCTTGCTAGAATCCATAAGCTTTACATGGTATCAGAGCGACTGATTTTGTAATCTGTAAACAAGAAAATAGAATTGTTAATTCGATGGTTTCTACTGGAGATTCAGCAGGGGAAATCACAGGAACATCAATGGCATCCACGACCATTGATCATCTTCATCCTTTATACTTACATCCATCTGATTCACCTGGCTCACTCAACATTGGAATCATGCTTACAGGAACAGATAACTATACTTTGTGGAGCAAAGTAATGCAATTGGCTTTGCTTGGGAAGAACAAAGTAGGATTCATTGATGGAACAGTGAAACGAGATCAGTTTTCAGGGAGTTTGGCTCAGTTGTGGGATCGATGTAATGCCATTATTGTTTCATGGATTCTGTGCAATGTGAGTAAAGATCTACACAGTGGTGTTCTTTTCTGTTCAGATACACATTTGATTTGGGGAGATCTAAAAGAAAGATTCAACAAGATCAACAGTTCTCGTGTGTTTCAGCTACACAAGGAGATCTTCACACTTGTTCAAGGTGTGTCTTCTATCTCAGTATACTACTCAAGACTCAAAGATCTTTGGGATGAATATGATAGCATCATGCCACCACCAGCTTGTAATTGTCCTAAATCTAAAGAGTTTTTTGAGCAT